TTCTGTAAAAATGGTGTTTTGTAAAGGGTTCACAGTGTTTCATTTTGAAGTTGACCTAAAGGTGCTTATGAATGGTGGATGGTATACACAGAATTTAGAATATGATTCATTTTTATGCTGTGAATTATGGATAAATTTGATTTGGAATACGTTTAAGCACCTAAATTCAACAGATGAGCACGTTGTGTCAGAAGACAGGAATAGTGAAAAATACACCAGTTTTAAGATACATTCTTTCATATGTTATGCTGTATGAGTTTATCTTGGAAAAGGACAGTTGAAACTCTTACTTCTGGAGAAATTGACTTTACAAAGTAAAGTCATGATCTTTCTCTGCTATTTTTCCTCTTCTCAACAGAGTAGTTTTATCTTAGGTTGCATGGTCTGTTTAAAAGAAGGCTTACTATTTATGTCTAATATGAAGAGTTTAAAATAATTGTTTCTGAAAATGAACTTTCATGAATATTGAATGTCATGAAATACTTGTTTGCTTCTGATGAAACCTTACTCCAGTGAGGTCAGTGGCAGTAAGATTTCATCCTTTTGTTTCTGTAATTTTCAGAAAAAACTGTTTACCACTCATAAGTACAAATGCAGCCTGAAGTTTTGGTTGGAATGTGTAATGTGAGGCACATTGTCTTTTAACGCTGTTTTTTGTGGGAAGATTGAATCAGTTCTCTGTGTGTGTGTGTATGTATGTGTATATTGCACTTTGACATGCTCTAGTGGTGGTTATTTCAAGAAGAGTTTTTTTTTTTAAAAAAGTGTCTTCTTGGTCATCTCATAGTCTCAGAAGCCCTAGCAATTCATGCTGGAGTGATTGAGAAGGTTCTCATCCCTAAATGATGTTCTTACTTCTTGTGAAACGGAAGCCCTGAAACAGAAGCAGTGGACCAGGGTTTGTCTAGTCCACTGGCATTGCTCTTCCCAGCCAGCTGCATTGGGATCAGTTGGTTTTACTCTGGTAATGCACCAGGCTGTGCGCTGCAGCTGGGAAGAGTTCTGCTTCGTGATCTCTGTTGGATTTAGCTGTGGCAGTTGAGGTAATTGCCAGTAGGTGTAATCTCTTTAATCACTGCTGCTAAATCTGATAAGAATCATGAATTGGATCACACAGAGATTATTTTATTTGTAAGTGTGCATTTTCCATTGATTTAAAATAGCAGGAAAATAACAATTCCTTTAATTATGTTTAGAGTAGATGAGAACTGTAAGTATTTTTAAAACAAGCAAACTTACTGCAGAAGCAGTTTTCGGGGGAAGGATTAACGATGCAGTTTCAGTACAAAGAGTAGGAAATTAATTTCTTCTGAGCACTTGGAGGGGGATAAAAGTACTGTGATTAGTACTTGCTTAACGCAGATACTTCTGTTCAGCATTTAGCAAAATGGATTCTGGTATGGCCTAGGTTGACTAGGTCTTTTAAGCACTTTGATGATACAAAAAGTAACAATCATAACTGATACTTAGGGCAAATGTACATTTCCTAAGAAGCATAGGGTGTCTCTAGGCAATGCAGAGCTAATCTACATCTGCTTCCAGATTCCTTTGCAAAGTGAAGAATCAATAAATAAATTATCATAGAATCTGTAATTTAGAGATTAGATTTTAATCTAATTAAAAATCTAAAAATTTAATCTCTTGTTAAAGACAAGAGCTTCTAAGAAATCTTTCTAAGGATGTGGTATAGATGTGGCATATTTATTTTGTCTGTTTCCCTCATTAGAAAATAAATACCTTTACCTCATTTCCATTCAGCTTTTAAAAGCCACAAGTTTAAAAAATGAAAGTTATTCTTAAACTAAAATGTCCTAATTTGTTGTGTCATAACCCACATGTTTCATTGTATCTTTGTGGGCTTGTATTCCTTTTATAAATAAATTAATGGAGCTAAAACTCCAAAACTTAAAGCATGTAACTTGTGAGGTTATTTGGCCTCACATATTAATTTGTTTTGCAAAACTGTCTAAAGAACAGGGAAGTAAATTTGCAAGAAATTTCAGATTTTCTTTTTTTTCCCCACAACAGTTTTTTTTCTATAGAATTGTTAAAAAGTTTGACCTGGTCTTAAAAATGGGAGAAGGATCTTCTGAAAAGACAGTATCTTTGAATATACAGGCAAATTTTCAGGGTTCTGTCTGTAGAGATAGACCCTTTCTTGTTCTTGAATAAGATAAATGAATCTTTGTTTGTGGCATGGAACTGACCAACTAGATTTTGTATTTAAAATAAAACATTACATTGTCGAAGGACCAAAGTATTCTGGAAATAATGCTGCTAACTTTACAATTTAGATATGCATGTTACTCGTTCTTTGAACTGCTATAACGGTGCACTTAACTGAAAATGTTCAGTGGATTCCTTGAGCAACATTTGAGCAAATGAATAATTCCAATTTTTCCAGTAAGATGACCCATGTTCTTAAAGTTTAGGCTTGTATTTAAGTACCTTTCTGAACTTGACTCATTGTCTGTTTAGTTATGTGCCTCACTCAGTTCCTCTTTAAAAGGGCTAAATGCCTAAGCATCTCTTAAGTTTACCTGGTTAAGTGTATATTGAATTGGCTGTATGTAAACGCATACTTAAATTAGGCATATACTTATGTACGTTACTGACCAAGGATCTAAATTTAGAATGCAGACACACCACTTTAGGAGCCATTTCTGCCATTGGATTTACTTGAGCCATGTCTGTTGATCCTGTAGAAACCTGCATGAGTATCCAGTTAATTGCAAGATGTTAGCTGTTCAGGATAAGGTCTGGTTCATTAGTCATTTCAAAACACTTAGCTATTTAGATTTTCAGAAGAACTAATACATAATTCTATGCCTAATTTGCATGCACAGCTGCTGGAACTGTATATTTGAAAGCCTGTTAGTTAGCTACATATTAGGCAGGATGTGCAGCAAAGTACCTGATACTCATGAGCAGTCAGGCAAATCAGGAAAAAGTCTCATTGCATGCCTGACTTCAAAATGAGATCTGTAAAGAGTGCTGAACATTGTGATGATGACTCAGATTCATGCATGTTTTTTAAAAAGCCCTGGAAGTCATTATTGCACAATTAATTCTTAAGTGCTAATAATTTTCCTATTTTTCTCCTTTAGATAGCAAAATCAAGTGGTTTGTTACATGTTAAGGAGCAAGGTGCCTCAAAATTTAACATAAATAAAATAAGTGTAAATAGGAAGCATGAGAAAAAAATGGGTACTGTTATTTTATCTTTTCTACTCCACCCATGCTACATATAAATTAAGTTTCATTTAGATTTGTTTTGTCCTTTGGTCATATCCAACTGTAACCCAGTCCTTGCTGCAGATCTGTAGAACAGGTTTGCAACACTTTTTTCTTCTTTTTATTTTTTTGAAGTAGTATGTTTCCTGTGGGGTCTGTTGGAACTCGTATAGCTAAAACTGCACAGTGTTTGGAAACTTACCTCATATTTTGCTTTTTGATAAGAATATTTATACATTCATTTTTAAATCCTGAAGTTAGGGGTTTTATAGTTAAAACATACACAGTGTGAACCAAAGCAGTAAAAGCCACTGGCACATTATTTGTATATACCTTGACTTCTAAAACAATGTTTAAAAAAACCCATATATTTTATTAAATTGCATGGGGTAATACCAAAGGGCCCAGTTGGATAGCATATATACAGTTAGGCCAGTAATTTTGAATAGATCGTAGATACCTAGTATAATTAGAACTTCTTTCTGTAGTTTTTCAGTTTAGTGTTCAATGTTTGTGCCAGTTTAAATCCCTTTGCATTTCAAATTTAATATGTACATTTAATTGTAATCATAATTGTTTAACTATTAAATCTTTCAATTTTTGAAGATTTTTTGGGGTTCATTTAGCAGTCTAATTGTCACTAATGAATCAAACCCGCGTTTAATTCAGATTAGATATTACTTAAACTTTTAGCATGACAGGGGGAATATAATCTGGTTGAAATAGTAGGGAATACATATTTTGGGAAAATATAGCTTGCTTAGCTGATCAGTTATGATTTTCTTCAATCTCAGTAAATTTAAAGCTAATTTATCAAAGTGTCACGTAAACTAAGGTGACCTAGAATGTGAGACAGTACCAATCTAAATTTTTTCTACCCTCCCCTCCTCCACCTCCAACTTCAGTTGTAGTATGTATTATGTGGAGTCACAGTAAATCAGTAGTTTTTATTTTATTTTTATTTATTTTTACATCCAAAGTAGGTAGCACCAGAGAAATTTTAAAAAGCACAAATTTCAGTTAGCACATACTTTTGGTTTTTTTTTTTTTTTTGTTTTGTTTTTCTTTTACTGATTTGGTTATTTGCCATTTCTGGGGATTAAACTTTAAAAAATGTTCTTCTTTTCTGTATCTGATGTTCTGTGTGCTATTAGTGATGCAGCCAACACGAACGGTTGTCATGTGTAAAACAACTTTCGATCACCGCGAAAACACCGCCCTGGGAAAGCGTCCATGCTTGATATCGTTTGGTTCATGAACATTAAGTTTCCAGTACAGGTGACCCATAGCTCAAAGTGTTAAATAATTGTATACATTATTCAGTTTTTAAAATAATAATCCATTAATGAGATTGCTAGTCTTTGAAGTTTTGCTCACTTTTGTTTTTCCTAGTAGAGCAGGGTAAAAGGAAAAACTTAAGTTCTTATTTGTTTCTTTGTAAGGATCTGGTAGATAGATTCATTGTTATTTATTACATTTTTAAATGCAAGGGTAATTGTAAAATCATAGAAAGAGTAACATCTGTGTAGTGTTCCAACTCTGTGTAACGCTTTCATTTGCTTCTTCAGGTAAAATCCCAGATGAAGCCAAAGCCCTTTCTCTATTGGCGCCTGCTCCTACTATGACAAGCCTGATGCCTGGTGCAGGGTTGCTTCCTATACCTACACCAACCCCTTTGACTACAGTAAGTAAAATTCAGTCGCTGTTTGATTTCTGGTTTCCTCTATATTCAGTAGCCTATTCTGTGTTCAGAGAACAAGAACTATTTGATCTGTGGATGTTGTCCTCTTGTATGCTAGATCAGTGAGGGTTTAGCTGTGGTGTCTATTTTGAGGGTAGACCACAAGATGTCCATGCACTACCTTTCCTGGGTTTTTCTTTCAGATTATTATTTTGCAAAATAGTGGGTAAATACTGATTTTGGTTGTGTCCATTTTAATTGTCCTTCCCTAGACTCATTAATTTGGTCCAGTGGCAGTGCTAGGCACCTCCTAAAAGTTTGTTAAAACATAATAGTTGCATTCACACAGTTCTTTGGAATATTAAAATGCTTCATTAGGGTGCTTTACTTGCTATCTCTATGACAGGGCTTTTGACTGCTTGCCTAACAGTGTTTTCACTACCAAAAGCATAGGAGGTAGCTGCTGCTACTTCTGCTCAGTTCCCTTTTGCTTCTGTAAGCCTTTCTTGACATCTGCGGGCTGCTCTGACCTATTCAGGGAAAATTTCAAGTTAAAATAGAGTAGTTTTCTCTTTTGTTACATAAAAAATTACTGGTGGCTTGTTGAGAATTTGTCACACTTGTTAGAAAATTTGTTTGCTGGAAAGGCAGTTGCTTTTTGGGTGGAGAAAACAAAACTCAAACCAGAAACTCAGCAGACCAATTTAGTAGTGATTTTTAAGTGACTTTTTTTTATAGCGTTCCCCAGGAGAGTTTTCAATTTCCAGTTCCAAAAATGAGAGCTGTGTTGTCCTCATTCTCTAGGAAGTGACTGTGTTTGTAGTGAAATAGAACTTAGACTTAATATCCTTTGCATTTCAGCTGTAATTAATCTTGCCTTACGTGATGTGTTTGTCCAAAAGGTACCTTATCTGTCCGTTTGATGGACTGATACCTATTACAGAACAAATTGGCCCTGGGCACCGCAAATTCCCTTCTTCCCTTGCTGGGCAAGGGCTCAGCAGTTCCTCATCTACTCCTAATACTTGTGGTGGTAAAAAAGTAAGAATATTAGCAGTGTCTGAAGGCATCTTACTCAATTCGATTGACTGCAAGCATTAGAAATTCAAACCTATATGTTTTCTGATTGATGTACTGCGTCCCTGGCCAGACCTCTTTGATAAGATGTTAACTGATAGCCCACAGAAATTCTTAACTATAGAAGGTTATTTATGAGTAGATTTTTATTCTTTAAAAAAAGTGCTCAGCTGGGATCTTGAAGTTTAAGGTATTGCCTATATTCATTAGATTTATTTTTACAGAAATGCACAAGGCAGGCAAGTATTAACAAGTGAGGTACCTCCCACCAGTGCTTGGTTGCAAAACATATTCTGTTTTTGTGTTTTCCAGCTCGGTGTTTCACTCGGCACTTTGGGGGCTATACCAGCAGCAGCATTGGACCCTAACATTACGGCACTGGGAGAAATACCACAACCACCAATTATGGGGAATGTGGATCCATCCAAAATTGATGAAATCAGGAGAACAGTCTATGTTGGAAACTTGAATTCCCAGGTAGCTTTTTTTTGTGTAATGGAAATATTAATGGAAAGTGTAGAATTGTAATTTATGAATTCTAATCTTAAATGTTAAAGAGTTTTCATTAGTTGATGACAGTAGGAATTTAAACAAAAAACATCATCATTTTGGTTACTAGTGATATTTTGAATTTTGAATGCTCCTGTGCCAATCAGATCAGACCAGACTGTGGAATTCATTCTGGCAGGATACCAGAGAAATCACACTGTAGCTGAATTCAAGAAACGTACTTACGATTGTGTGTGTTGATCAAATGTCCAGCTGGGTTGCGTTAGCTGAGCAATGCTCAGAAGTCGTGAAATCATGGTAGCTGTCCCCTACAGCACTGTGCAGTTGCTTAAGTACAGTAAGATGGAAGGATGGGTCCTAGTGGAAGTTGCAAAATTAGCATAAATACCTTTGAGTTTCTATAACAGGGAAGTTAGATCTGTCAGAAACTTGGTTTTTCAACAATTGATCGAGTTAATTGAAAAACAATTTGCTTTTGACTGATGGTAATATAAGTATTTTATTTTGGGGTTTTTTGACTGCCAGAGTAGCTACTGGAGTGTAAAAGTACTATTGGTCATGATAAAATAAAATAAGCTGGAAGCTAGTAGAAAAACAGAAAAAAGCTAAGTCTTATATTATTGTTTGGATTTTTTTTTTAAATTGATCAAAATTCACAGTCAATAGCTTGGACACAGGTGTATAAGGAAATTCCTCATCAGTTATTTCAAATTAGTTGCCTGAAAAGTACAAAATCCTGTGCAAATGCTTTTTTAACCTAGATGTAGGACTTCAAGGCTTCTGGTTGCACTATTTTAAATTGTAGTATATTCTTTAGATTAATGGAAGAAAAAATACCTGTCTTTCTTAAAGTGTAACATTACCAAATTCATGTCACCTGTGTAATAATGGTGAGATATCTTTCCAAAAACTGTAGCTCTTAGATGACCTGATATATTGGATAAATGGTTTTCATTATATATTTTACATCAGCCGAGCTCTTCTGACTCTTTCTAGACTACAACAGCAGATCAGCTGCTTGAATTCTTTAAGCAAGTTGGAGAAGTCAAATTTGTGCGAATGGCAGGTGATGAGACGCAACCAACACGATTTGCGTTTGTGGAATTTGCAGACCAAAATTCTGTACCTCGAGCTCTTGCCTTTAATGGAGTTATGTTTGGAGACAGGCCACTGAAGTAAGAAATTAATTATTCATATGACTATTGAATGAGAGATTTATACATTTATGACTGATGTGCAGGAAAGTGCTGAGATGAATATTTTTTTAATGTAAGGACCTGCTGTTAGTAAATTTTGTAAACTGTAGTTTCAAGGTTGGGCATAACTTTCTCTGAGAAGAATATGGATGGCATTGAGTAAAATACATTTATATTTAATCTTGAGGTAGTGGAAGCTGTAATAGTGAAAGAATCTGCAAAGTCCTTAGTACTAATTAAGCTTTCTGTATGATGTGTATGTAACTAGTAGGCCTTAACATAGAGATTTGATTTGAAATAGAGAAATAGATTCCTAGACTTCTACTAGAAAATATTTTAACACAGAAATATTGTGCTGCGTTTACTTAAAAATGGTAAGATTTGAAAGCAATAAAAGACATTTTAGATACTTGGAACAGATCAGTGTTAGGACAAATCTGTAGTTTTGCTGAACTTTGAAGTTTTTAGTTGTACATGGAAGTTGAGGTGTTTTCCTTTCTTAGTTGTTTTTCCTTTTCCCTTTTCAAGTGTTTGGGAGTTAAAGGTTTTATTTTTCCTTAATTTAGAATAAATCACTCCAATAACGCAATAGTGAAGCCTCCTGAAATGACACCACAAGCTGCTGCCAAGGAACTGGAAGAAGTGATGAAGAGAGTAAGGGAGGCCCAGTCTTTCATATCTGCTGCTATTGAGCCAGGTAGGTATATTACGTTCGTTACCTAACAGACACGTTCTGTGCATACCTTGGCACACACTTTTAAGAGCATTTTCAAACACAGGAATAGGGTACTCAAAGGTGAACAATATGTGTTGGGAAAAAAAAGAAAATAATCAAAATTGTGTTCATGCAACAAAGCAGTGGAATGAAGCTGACTTTTTATTTCATCGTATCTTATTTTCAGATACATGCTCACTGAATGTTTTCAAGAATTCAAAGTTAATACTGAATCAATACTGAATGTTGGTGCTTTTTAAGTTCAAAGTACTTACAAACTTTTAAAAGAAAATGCTTTATATTTTGTTTTGTTCTCCTCTGTCACCCATTAATGCCATAGTTTCATGTTCAGAGAGAGCTAGCATGGTTCTGAAAGCAGTAATATGCTTTTCTTATCTGCAGCAGGTTAATTTTGTCCCTGTGCTATGCTCTTTTTCATGCTGGCTAAAGACTGTGTGCATCCTCATAGCAAATGGGATCAGAGAATGAATCTGGGATAAAACAACATATTTGTAAAGAACTTCTTTTCATCCAGATTGGTTCCCTGATCCCTGTTAACACTGAGATGCCAGGTCGAGGAGGAAGGTGTTGGTGGGTTGAGAGGTTAGGCATTTCAGTGCTGATTTATGCTGACTTAAACTGATTGCAAAACCACAGCATAAAAAAATTCTCAACTTGTTAAACTTGCAGTTGAGATCCTCCTTTTTCTTTTCATCAGTGAGACTTTGTCATTCTTCTTACTGACGAACATTGTCTTACGTAGGTTAGATAGTGCGGAGTCTTGAGGGGGTTTTTTGGGGGGTGGGTGAGTATTTTCTGTTGTTTTTGTAGGGTTGGAAGAGAAATAGCTCTAACATCTCAATGTTAAGCAGCAGAATAACAATCTTTTAGAGTCTGAATCAAAGTCTGGTGAGGTCACTGTTAAGGTTTCTGTTGACTGCCTGGCTTTGGATCAAACTTCTCACCCTGTTCTCTCCATCCCTTCCTCCCGCAAAACAATGTTTGAGGAATAAAACTTCAATATTTGTACAGAGGGTGAAATATCTATAGAAAGTATACTAATATATAGTATGTACTAATTATTATTTACATTTTATGCTTGTTTTCAAAATTGTACCCTCTAAATTTACTCTATTCTTCTCAGGTTATTTAAAAAAAAAAAGAAAGTAATTATATTAAATAATAGACCAAGAGGAGAACATGTTGTGATCTTGTGCATTGTGGCAGCAACATAAATCCCATTCCTAATAGAGCTAGCTGTTTATAATTATCTGGTTTATGTGTACTGCTGCAGGATGGCTGCACTCAACGAGTATATGCAATGACTTTCTTGGATGTTTCTGAAGGATATTTGCAAAGAAGGAAGATGTGCAAAGAGTAGGCCCCTTGCACTATATGTGGTACATTCCACTTGTGCCAGATTGTTAACTGGGATCTTTAAATGTTCTGAGCTTACACTGCAAAGTGGTTTTTTCCTCTCAGAGTCTGGAAAGAGCAGTGAAAGAAAAGGCGGTCGATCTCGTTCCCATTCTCGTTCAGAATCCAGGTCTAGCTCAAAATCCCGATCTAGAAGGAAAAGATCACACTCAAAACACAGGTAGGTATGGTTTTTATTTTGGACTAAGAGATCATACTGGGGTTTTTTCAGTGGTGGTGGTTACTGAGATTTCTTACTGAGTTATAAGACAAGTATCCCTGTAGAGAAGATTACTAACTTACACTGAGCAGATCAGAGTAACCAGGAACTTTGAGCAGATACTCTTTTCCTCTAAATGCTAAATGTTTTCAGGATTACTTTCTGTTAAAACACACTAGAAGGCACTTTTTGTGCCATGTAACATAACCATTTCTATGTTTTCATGGTACATTTTGTGCCATGTAGCATAGTGTCATTTTGTGACCTGTATTTTAAAAAGAAATAGTTACCTGTATTTTGTGGATCAAACATGTTATTTACTGTTAGCACCATGAGCAGATAGGTTGGCTGGTTTTGCTAGTAGAAAGTTCCTGATGTCCTGAATTTCTAAACATCGAGTTAACACATGCAGTGTTTTTATTTACTGTACTGTAAATGTAAAGCTATGGTTTTTAAAAGCAGAAGAAAAAGACTTTAGGGGCAGTTTTTAACTCTTCAGATTTTGTTTGCTTTGCTAAACTTCTTCAGTTCTGAAACAGGCTTTGGAATATGGGAGGAAATAACATTACTAGATCACCCCCAAAGTTATACCCATTAAGATTTTTGCCTAGAATGAGACAGTCTTGCTATGTGAGACTTACAAATGCTTCCTGAAATGGTTCAGATTCTTTCAATGTCAGGAATGTCTTCTGAGCATTTACGTAATCAATCTAAAGATATTTGGCTACATTAAGTATAAAAAAAAAAATTCAGAATGTATTTGATAGGTTACACTTTAAAAAGGTAGGTGTTGTCAGTGTTGCAGCAGCAGCTCTGCTGCATCCTTTCATGCATCGTCTTTTAACAAGGCAACTACAATTCTTCTAGATACAGAAAAGCCGGCCAGAGGGAGTTATCATCAAATATACTACCAAACAAATATGATATAAGTGCAGGCTTCAGTTTTGCAGTAGCAAGACACCACAGTGCATGTTATCTAATGACATCAAAATATTAGGTAGCTTTTTAATGCAAGAAGAATAATTTGGTCACTTCCTTATTGCTTGCTTCTCTGCTGTTTCTCTAACTTGGGACATAACTGAAAAACAATCTTTTTGTATAACACTGCAAAAATCTCAGTACTATTTTGTATTGCCACAAGCCAAATTGATGTTTAGAAGATAAACTTGCATTTTTTCACTCGTGGAAAACCTGTGCTTTAAACAACTGTTGATGTTTTTTTTTGTTTGGTTTGGTTTTTTTTTTTTTTAAAATGGTTTACCACCGCTACTGTCAGTTTTGAGAACATGCTGAAAAAAGGCCAGTCTGATCTGTTGAGGCAACTTCATCCCTAAGAATAACTATACTTACCACTTCCCTGTTTTACTCTTCTATAAAACACTTAAATCGTTTTCATCTCTTAGGATATAAAATTTATTCAGGGTCTCATTTTGACTCAATTGTAATTAATTTGCCCTTAGTTAGTTTGTGTTTCTGTGCTGATAAGTGGAGCAAAGCTGCAGGTAAAAAACGGTTGCCTCTCCTCTCTTGGTATATATTGCTCTGTGTGTCTTGAGCTCCAGAAGACAGGTGGAACTGGTATTTTTTGTACCTCCCTGTTCTTCAGGATTTATTGAGTAATATACATGGCCTTTCTGTCTTTGGTAAGTTAAACTTTATGGTACCTTAACCTCTCAGGCAAAGTATCCAATGATGTGGGGTTTTGATACTTAATGTTGAAATTCAGCTTTTTATTTTTGCTTTTCCAGGGAGTATGATCTTCCAAAAATAGGGAGTGTTTTGGAAAAAAAAAATACTGTAATTTTTAAAAGTCTTATTTTCTTCATCAAATCTGCGACTATACTATATATGTTTATCAGAAGACTTTAGTTGGATTTTTGTCAGAGTGTCTGCACATTATTTGCATTCCTTATTTATCATGTAGTAAACGCTCATTCCTTTTCTTGAGAATTCTTATAATTGAAGTCCATGCTAACAAATCCTTTCAACTGAAAAGGTAACTTGACTAAATGCTGAACCACAGATAGCGGGGGGGGGGTTTCCATTTTGTTTTGGTTTTTTAAAGTTCATTTGAATTGTAAGGCTGGAGCACAAAGCAAAAAGAGACTAGTTAAAGCCATCTTTCGTCTGTGACCCAAGACTGCAACAAGTTACTGGGCCTGGAAAAGAAACAAAATGTAACTAATTATTTTTACAAGCTGCTAGAAATTGTCTATAGTAGATTTTATGCACTGTAATTTACTAAGGACAGCTATCGTAATATGATACGAATTTATATTTTCCAGAATGATCATGGAGGTTATTATGAAGCATGGTTATTACTTAAATGGTGCATCGTTTCAAAGGAGGGCATGTGCACCTGGTGAAGCATAAAGTATCCATATATACAAAAATGTTGGTAGGCAGTATATTACTGAGGTGTAACTCTTTATATAAGTTTATGTAGTAAGGCAAGATTTATGGTTTTTTTCCTTTGTTCGTTGATTTAATTTTTATAAAGTTTCAATATTAAAGTATTTTTCTTCTGGCATTGTTCATATAGAAGTAGATCTGGCAACAGATCACTATCAAGACACAAGGACAGACGCAGATCCAGAAGTCCCCTGAAAAAACGGTCTAGATCTAGGGAAAGGCGGAAATCAAGAAGTCGCTCTCGTTCTCGGTGAGTTCCATTCCTAAGAAATGGTACCGTTCTTCTTAGCACACAGTACAGAGTTTTTGAAAAAAATCTAACAAACCTTTTAGGTGATGGTAAAGGGTGGAATCTCTAAATGCTTTAGCCTGTCCCTAGGCTTTGTCTGTGGGACAAAAGAATAGAAAGTAAATTTTAATGCTGAGTGTACTGGTTTTGGCTGGGATAGAGTTAATTTTCTTCATAGTAGCTCATACGGTGCCTACAGGGGTTAAACCACCACACTGAGGTACCTAAACTTTGATAGTCTAGTCTACATTTATACCAATGTGCACACTGACCAAAAATAGGTAACTTCAATTGCCAGACTTTAACCAATAGATTAGGAATGTTCTGTGTAGCCTGTGAAACCCACAAAAAAGTGGATGATGCTTGTTCAGTCTACATCTGTTGAGAGGTTGGATTCAGGCTGAACTTGATCCTGCATTCTGACAACATGTGTAAAGTTTTTGTGCATGAGCTTTTATTTTTGCCTTTGGCCATCTCATATTGGCCATACACTGCTGTGGGCACAAATGCACGTGTCTGTTATGTGGCATATTTGCATTTCAGGATCTAATACATCTATATTTTACCTAGTCTATTAATTTTTGTCTGGTTGCCTAATTATTGAACTGTGAAATTTCAACAAGATAATATAATTTTCTGTGGGATGAAGTAGTGATTATTCACAAAACGAAAGTGCCCATGAAAGTAGCTTCATGAATAGAAGCCTTGGTATTTCTCTTTCTGTTTCATCTCTGTAATTCCCCTGATTCATTTAAAGGGAGCTTCATACTTAGGTTGTGCAGTTGCCTCTTGTTTTTTGAGGGAAGAAGTTTTGTGGGAAAGAGAACTGCAGATCCGTGGACCTCAGTGGAAACAGGAATAGGCTACGTAGCTAGCTGGGCTTTATCGATGGATCCTTTTGATTCTCTGTTGCTGTTGTCTGGAGCTTCTTGGGATATCTGCTCACTGGAAGGGGCAAGTCCAATGAAATCTCTGTGATAAATTAACTGGAAGGCACTTCTTGGGTCATTGTGAGGCTCTTTGCTATCGCAGGGATTGCGTGCTGCTTCATCTTTATGATCTTATATTCCTTCTCTGAGACTTCTGAAGAAGTATTTGCCAAAACCTGATGGGAACCAAAGTTGTCAGGTCATAGAGCATACAACAGCCTACTATTTATTAGCAGTTGAGAAGAAGATACAGCCAAACACTTCTTGTGTTGAAGAAGGGTGGGGACTGTGCTTAGGAGCTTTCATGTTTGAAGGAGTCTCTCTAAGAGTCTTTAAAAATCCTAGAATAGGTACCAATACCAATAGACACAGCAATTTCTGTCAGTCTTGTTGTCTTGGACATGTAAAGGCCTGCTAATCAACAACTTCTCTTGTGCTTTCTCCAGTGTATCTCTCTGAACAATTGTTCATTTTCGTGTCCTAGAGGCAGGTCTAGGAGTCATGTGTGTATCTTTGGTAGAAAGGAAAGATGGAGTCTCACACTTCCAAATAATCCTATACCAAAATGTAATCTTCCAGCCAAAGCTGTGATCTAATAAATTTTTGTTTGGCTTGACGACTAGAACGTCAGTTGAAATTTTCCTCACTGTTCTTTTTATGAACATGTTCATTCTGCCTGTCCCAAAGAAGCTGACTTATTCTGTTATCCTTGCTTCTGTTTTTACTGTATTAACAATTTTTCAATAATTTTCAAATTCCTAATGACATTACAGATGATTATATTGTCTTGATTGAGTTTTGACCTTACATTTGTCTTTTGAGGGAATTTGTTTGGTGAAATTTCATCCCTGCTTTTTTATTTCTGTGTATTAATTGTTGTTGGACTTCCAAGCAGTTCCAGGATATCTGTGTGAGAGAACACTGTAGAATAATGACTTTTGTCAGTCAGCTGTCATTATTCATGTGGGGGTGGTTAATCTGCAGTCCATTTTATGTGGACACACTTCTAGTAAAGAGTGGACTTACGGATTGTAGAGTTTGTCTCACTCCTGACAAAATGTAGAAAATTTATGTATGTGTAATCACATAACTGTGAGGTGAAGAGACATATTCTCTCAAAGTGTAGTAACATCTCTCTGAAGATCACAGTTTGATTTGATTTTGGCCTCCCCTTCTCCAATTTGGTTTCCAAATTTTTCCTAGCTATATAACCTTTCCCTCATGGTGAACAGGGGTGGAAAATTAAAATATTGAATAATTACTATTTTTTGACAGAGACGCATACTTTATCTTGAACAATTAATGTATGCTAAAGAGTTAGTTGTAATTTTAATGGGAAAGTTCAAAGATGAATTAATGGATTTGTGTTTGGCTTTTCACAGGGACAAGAAAAGAGACAAAGAAAAGATCAAGGAAAAAGAAAAGGCCAAAGAAAAGGAGAAAGAGAGAGACCGAGACAAGGAGAAAGAGAGAGACCGAGACAGA